GGCTACGCAGGAAGCACCGATATGCAAAGTGGCAAGTTTGGGGCGTCTAATGGGCGAGAGATGCAAATCATGTCCTACGTTCAAACGCGAGGAAGTGTGCCCGTCTACTGGTCCGAGATCAATGCTCTAAAGTATACGCCCAAACTTCAGGTCCGCGGAATAGAAACCGCCTTCTCTGCCGCCAAGAAGCATTTCGACGAGCAAATTCGCATATATGGCGACAATTACCTCGTTAATCTAGTCAATCAGAAAGGCCGTGAAAAGCGCGTGAAGGAAGCCTATGAACAAATGGTGGAAATGCTTCTGAGCTCGAAACAGGAAAGCGTCAGCAAGGACCACATTACAGATGAGAAATTCCGGGTCGTTGAGCCCGACAACCCCAAGCAGGAATTCGACCGGTTGCACTATGTATACTTCGATTTCCACCACGAGACCAAGGGACTCCAGATGCACCGTGCAATGATGCTCGTGGATAAGCTGCATGACGCGCTGATAGCGCAGCAGTACTTTCGAGGCGTTGATATGCCGGCTAACGGCGGGCTGGAGACGAGGAATCTGCAAACCAGCGTTGTACGGACAAATTGTATGGATTCTCTCGACCGGACCAATGTGGTTCAGAGTATGCTGGCCAGATGGACCTTGGATCGCATCTTTGTAGACCTAGGCCTGCTTCAACGAGGCGAGACTTTTGCCACGGCGGACCCAGCATTCGAATTCCTCTTCCGCAACCTATGGGCGGACAATGCTGACACAGTATCCAAGGCGTATGCTGGTACGGGTGCTATGAAAACAGACCTTACGCGCTTGGGCAAGCGTACTAAACAGGGCACTCTCCAAGACGGTCACATCGCCGTGACTCGATATTATCTGAACAACTTCCGAGACGGGCCCCGGCAAGATGCATACGACCTCTTTCTAGGCGCTTATGAGCCTAATACAGCTAATATCGGTTCATCGCTTATATTTGCCGACCGCAGGCCGATCCTCATCCAGAGCATTCCCTACATCCTCGCGTTTAGCATATTCTTCGTCTTTCTGGGGCTGTTTAGTAAACGTCTACCCGGTTCTACTGCCTTGCCTATGCGTTTGTTTGTCTTTTTCTGGATGATTGTGGCCGTCTGGTGTCTGAACTTCATACTTCAGAATGGCATGCTATTTGTAAGTAATGATTCGCTCACCCGACTCTGCTCAACAACGTGATTTTATCTACTGCAGCTTAAGCAAATGTACTGATGCTGGTTTCAGGTGAACTGGCCGAAGCTAAACCCACGGCCATGGGCTATAGAGGGTTACCAAGAGACCATCGGAAAGATCAGGAAAGGCAAAGTGATAGGCCCCCTTGTGGCAAGGCATGAGCGCGGACTGAGCACGGCGAGATATCTCAATGCGGAGGAGGGAAAGAAGAGAATTGAGTAACCTGCCATCCTAGGTATTCAGCTTGTGAGCAATCCGGGCCACTGACTACCTTTTTGAACCCATTTCAATGGGCAGTTTTTGTTCTTGCACATATTATATGGGGAAAAGGACAGGAACATACTCGACTGCCTCCTATAGAGATAGACCTTTAAGTTGCTTTAATCACTCTTAATATATGCTCAAACTATGATATAATTCAAAAGTATAAATAAGCTGATTATATATATTGATCAGCAAAACATATTAACAAGCAATCATGATCCTCTTCGCCCATAGTAAAAATAGTCTATATCTCTCAACATTTAGATTAGATAGGTGCCTGTCGGTATGAATAAATTAGGAAAAAAATAATTTTACTCTCGATCGGGGAATCGAACCCCGGCCACCTGCGAATTGCTCCATGACAAGCAGGTATCCTTACCACTAGACCAATCGAGACTCTTACTGGACACCAGGGTAATAGGAAGTGTGATTGGTCAAATTTTTGAAGCAATTATAACCCGAGAGTTCTCAACTACCCACTGTGCCTCTTGTCACTAGCCCTTCCTTTGACGGTCTATCAACTTTGATTCCACGCAGCATTCCCCATTTTACCATAGAAACAGTCAAAGTAAATACCTATTAACTGAACCGTAGCTAATAGCATTAGCGATCTCAGTTCACAAAATTGTGTCTATACATCATTGACCAGTACATAGCAACTTGACATAGTCGACATTGTGATCCGCATTGAGGCTCCCGCAAGGAACAATGCCAACATGGCACTCAAGAGGTCACACACATATCGGACAGGACAAGTAGATGACCTGCGAAACACGTAGCACATGCTTATGCTTATGTCACTTATCCGGGGGGGAGGGGTCCCTGGCTCCGGTTTCGTTGACTTAAAATCTGCATTTGAAGCTTTATTGCCTAGAGACCGAAGAGGTAGCGAGTCCTCCAGTAGCACCTAGGTCGGTAATCTGCGTTTGGATATGTTAAAGTGTCTCAGACTGATGTTATCTCTAGGCTCGAACCCTACAGGGCTGTCGGACTACTGAATCCACGAAATTCGTGAGCTTTCCGGTGGAACTCCCAGGCCACTTAAAGTATAGCACCGTCAAGCTTCAGCGTGAAGCTGTTAGCACCTCTTCCGTTACTGTTTTCGATGGGCTGAAATTGCAATATCTTTCCTCCGAGTGCCTATAAAGATGTTAACGGAAGTCAGCATGCGGCAAATCTAGCAATCTATCCCAGGTCTTACGCGGCTACTGTCTCAGGATGGAGGTGCCGCTCGATGAGTTGGTGATTCGTGACACATCTGCGATATACAACGCGGGTTTAGGCCTGGATAATGGGCGACGCCCAATCCCCGTGAGACAAGCAGATCGTCTATAAAATAAAACTTGGTATAATGAGATTACCAGGAGACAGTGCCGACGTTCCAGCGCCACGGGAAGCGTCATTCATGGCTCGTCCTTAATTTATAAGTGCGATGCTTCTCTGCCAACAAACTCTTTATGTTTCAGAACTCATTGCTAGCTGGACGCCTTCTGGCACCTTCCACCCAGATCTAAGGGGATATGGCGATTTATCGAACAGCAAACGAAGAGAATATTGCGTAGCCCGGACGAAGAATAGTAAATGGGCTCTATGAAATGTCCCTTCTCTATTCTGACTCTATATGACTTCGGTTTGAAGGTGTCAGCTGTGAGACTGCTCTGGTTAAGTGCAGCGTAGTTTGGCTGGGCTTGCGGCGGTACCCATTTTAGCAGCTTCCGAGTGATTGTAATTTACAGCTAAAGCTCTCCAAGGAGCTGGGGCCCTGGGTGTCAAATGACAGCTGGGGTTGAAGGCTGGTCGATGTGAGATAGATCACCTGACTTGGTGAGCTCCCAATCAATCTCTGCGCAAGTGATTTGAACCAGCTCAGAACGGCACAATAACTGCAGTTAGTCAATGACCCAACAGCCCAAGAAGTTATTGAGTTGAGTGTCTTCTTACCTCACCAGTGCCATCGCTGTTGAATTTGATTGATCTCCATCCCGGTAGAAATATCAGCTCTCCTAGCCGCAGAGAATTGAGCTAAGCGCTTCGTCCATATTGATGATCGCTTCTATAATACGTAGAAAGGGTATTCTATCGCGTATACTCATGCGGGTTCGATTGATAACGGAGGCAGTCAGAAGATCCGGCTGAAGATCACTACGTTTAATGTTGTAAACCCGGAGCCGCATATGCTCTACAGACATACGCTTTTCTTGGACGCCGTCAATAGTTTGGGATCCCACGCAGGATGTGTAGAGAGAACTAAATATGAAGACTTCGAAGAAGCTCGCCTCCTTTTGCATGCCATTTATCTGTGTAGCTACCACACTCGACCTTGAGGGCCCAAGCTTTGTTGACCTAGTGTCAGGCGATATTTGAAGTCAGAACAAGACCAATCCAAGTAAAATCAACGATGGAGGAATCGGTAGAACTATTTGCCAGTTACGCGAGGGTAGCACAGCCTCAAACGTTAAAGACAAGCGACTGATGCGCACACAAGGGACATACGTTAGCTCCATCGTCATGTCGACCTGAGACGGGCGGGGTTTTGGCACGAATGTGATATGAGAGATTTATATAAAACAGTGTCGCTTCAGTATATTTGAATAACTGATATGGAATAAGAGACAACTCCTAGGTACCAACATCAGCAGAACGAGATACGCAGCAGAAACGTGTCCGATAACCAACGTTGAGACTTGAGCCGTACTTATCGAGTGAATAATCGGTGCTAGAGAAAACGCAGGCCAGATCGCCCTTGGTTTAAATGAAAGACCCGGGTTCATTACCATCGCGGGAGTTTCAAATACAGGACGGGATTTTGATAATAGCAAGAGGCCTCTTCCAAGAGCATACCTTTGCTTTGAACACAAAGCATATCCTAGATCGTTACGTTTTTCTCATGCCATGATGACGGCCGTTGATCCCTATCAGCGTGGGATAGTCACAGCGTGCCGCTTATGTCACCCGCTAAAAGGTCGCGAGCAATCTCATAGCACTCTCATTTACAAAGTAATTGGCATTTTGCCTCCTCGGCCCTTAGACTAGACATATTTGGCATGCTATCTACTTGCTCTGATGCGGCGAAAGCAACAACGACGATAGCTGTCTCTACTCCTACGCTAGGTGCGCATGAGATTCTATCTCAAGAGAACTCTTTCCGCTGGCGCGCCTGCTAGATGCGAAACTATGAGCACTTTCAAGGTCTAAGCTGCGGGCCTCACAATTTCTGCGACCTTCATTATCTCGAATTAAACGTGCTTTCAAGACGTCCAATGCGATGCACAGTACCTTGATTTCAATACAGAATGTCTTTGTCTCACAGTCGACTGCTCATAGCTGCAACCGCATTCTCAAGCCTAGCCGCTGTCTGATAAGTCGCCATCCCTGTCGACCTTAGTATCTATGATCTTAATATCATTATTGAAATCTAGAACTTATTATATAAAAAGGAACATACCACTATTCTCATAGCCCCGATTAAAGGAAAGAATGGTTGTATATACCGAGATAGCCTTTGAAGATGAGCGATGTGTGACACTGACAAAAAGTTGATCCGACCAGGGCCTGATTCGAACAGACGCTCCCGAAGGAACCAGATAACCGACTATACAGCGTTATAACGCGTTAATTCGAGTCTGGCGCATTAAACCACTCTGCCACCTGGCCTACGATGCTTGTTTCGGAGTTAAAAGCATCTCTTATCAGTGGGGAAGGTTGGGGGTGGGGATAGGGGTGAAAGGTCACTTGTACACCTCCGACCGGAGAATAGGGGGAGGGAGTGAACATCCATTTGCTTGAATTAAGTACGCAGTAAGTAGCTCTATTGCGGCTGCTGTTCCATGCTAAAGAGCCAAGTGAGAACTCTTCACAGTATTACCAGTGTTCTGGGGAATAAAGATGTCTCAGCCTCTGCCATTGTACCGTCATGTACAGATTGTACGGAGTAAGTACTTAATACAGTGCGCTTCTACAGTGCTCCTTTACTGATCATTGAGCTATGACCTGGAATGTATTCTGAGGGTAAAGATAGTGGTATGCCACATATCAACATTGCTGTCAACTATCGAAGCGCTTCACTCTCATGAACTTCTTCTGTCTTATATCGGATCAACGTGAGCTGCTGCCGAGATGGTTCATCTACTGATCGCACTAAGAAATCATCCATGGTAGGTACACATCTCTAGAGAGGCGGAGAGACAAGGGGGAAAAAAATCTCTGGCCGACGAGGGAATCGAACCCCCGGTGCCTAGCGATGCAGAGTAATGATATTGACGCTGAGTGACGCTGAGTAAACGCTGAGTAGCGCCTGATAAGTATATTGTGTCGGAGCTAGAGATGCTTCGCTAGGCCGTACCAACTCGGCCATTGGTGCTATTTCGAAGATTTCAAGGCTTAAGTTGAATATAACCCTCTTTCCAGTGGTTTTGGGCGAGTATAAAGTTTAGACTAAGGGAACCCTTTTGGGCTGCCTGCCTTCTGCGGATAGTGCCTTGAGGTGCTGGATGACGAGCAAGGTTGGCAGGCGTCCACCCACGATTAGTCCACATCGATGCTCCTACCGAGTTTCACGATCGCGCGCGGTGGATGCCTAGGCGTTTAACTGTCATAGCACATAATTCAGCGTACATGCTGGTTACTGCATCGGCTCGATAAATCAGAGCTTGAAACTCAAAAGCAACAACGCCTAGGCCGAGTTTCGGTGATATAGAGAAGAATGATAATAATCTAGAGCAGTTCGCGCCAGCTCTCAAGGCATCCTTACTAAGGCCGGGTGGCCGGCAAACACGCAGTCAGACTTCCCTTGACTCGGATTCAGCAGGACCGATCACGGAGCCGGTGCCTCTCAGCAAATCGGATGATTCATCGGGGGTGCGACAGTCTCCAGGGTAGCTTATTGTGTCCTCATCTTCTTCTGGCCCTATTAACTGGGTATCGTTGCCGCGTGAGGCCGGCGATGGGGGAATCCGGATATGTGGAAAGGACTACGAGACTTAGCTATTCGTTCCCTTCAGTTCTTGCCAATTAGGTTCTTCTTAGTTTGACGCTTTCTTCTCTGGGCCGGGCCATCCGATTCGGGTCGACATCGCTGCGTTCCGCCTGAGGGGATCGATTAGCCGCCTTTACCTACTTCGGTCAGTCACTGCCAAGCGAGAATGAAGTTAGCAGATCTATAGGCTTGATCTAGAGCATCCAGCTTGTGTATGTATGCACATCTGATTGGTAGTGTTCATATGTCCATTGTCATGTTGGATGTTTCTGTCATCCGGGCAGAGCTAGAGCCTGAGACATTGGATCCCCATTACTTCCTGAAATTTCTGGCCTCCTATAACGTTAGCAACGCACCATTGAAGGCGCCTATTTGACCAAATTGATTGAGTTTCTGTTGCCGCCCACGGATGATAATGGGAGAGCGTGCGTGGTTTGGCTTCGACTAGAAGAGTTGGCTCATGTAGGATCCAGATGTGTAGATGTAGTGAGGAGAATGGTGTCTTCTGGTCGTAGCCCCCTAGATGCTGGACCCCGTCTGATTTGGAGGTCTTCACGACCCTGTTCATCGGGAATGACGGGATATCTATCAGGGTAGCGTAGGCTGACGCCTTGCGAAGAACAGCTATCTTCTCGCCTCATTGCCTATCGTGCCTGTCTCATATGGTACCTAACACCCCATATAATATAATGAAATTGTATTGTGTTGCTTAATACATATATGACACAGGTCATGTCATGGGCCGGACCTGAGTAAGGCCCGAACCCCCCAGCTTCGTTACACCGCCAATGTGGACGGCAATATGAGACCAATCACCAATCTTTCCTCTTAAACATTACCTATCAGCTAGGCCTATGGGAATCGCATTTTATAGCCAATAAAATACCACGGGCTGGGTAAATTGATCAATGGGATTTGCTTATTGAGTAATTGCAAGGGAGAGTCGTAGTGCTATAATAATTGGTCGCAAGCAACCAATCCCCCGCAAACACACCACCGGGTTCATCCTTTTTCTTTGCTCTTGCTCTTCAGGGTTTTCAGCTTGTCACAAATGTTAATGCTTCATCCCGTGTTTGGTTAACAATACTTCATTAAATAGTCTACCCACCTTGTGTGTGTTCATACTCTGCGCGTTTATTCGTACAAGGGTGTCAATGGCTGCTTATCGCCTGATCGTGGAATCCTTTATTACCAGCACCCCCCTTTGGTTTCAAGTTTAAGACAACAACATCACACAAGCCGCTTGGACCATCCTGTGACACTCTGGGTTTCTGCCCACCCATCCATTGAGTCAGCATTTGGCGTGGTTTGCCATTCAACCACTTCAATGCTTGCTTAAATTACTTGCTCCTACACTCGGCTATTATCAATGTGGCTCTGCATCTACAACTTCTAGCTATCTAGTATAAATCGTGGCTTCCTTCCATCTTCTGCATCTCGGTTTTAAAGTCACTCTTCAGATCAAAACGCAGTCTTCTTCCCGTGTCACATTCCATAAGATTGTAAAGGCAGCTCTACGGTATGGGAATTATAGGTACGACGCTTTAGTACATCTTTCCGACATCGCAGGTAATTACCCCCCCTAAACCCACTCAGAAAGTGCCATTTATGTAGCACTCTCCCAGCGTTCCCTAGCCCAGTCATGACTTTAAAGGTCCTCTTACGTCGAAAACACGGGTTATTGTTCATTGCAAATGCTGATATCATCTACTAGCAGCTCACTGTCGGCCATAGCAAACTCGGCAGACATCTTCTCCCTATTCAGGCAAATTGCCTCTCTTCTTTTGCGACCAACTAAAGCGCGAGTATCGGCACGCCACAGCCTGCCCAACCAATCAATATATTATCATATCGACCGAGAGCATATACAAGAGAAAATGTGCCAACATATTTACCTCCGTTTCCACAGCTGTCCTTGTCAGCTGCAGTACCGGCTGGAGGAGTGTGCTTATGGAAAATCCGATCCGCGGTGCCGTGAAGTCAAGGTGTCTCTGAGGTAGAGCAGCAGAGACTACTGCCACTGGCACCAGCGATGGAACACGATGCGGAATAGAGGGCGCGGCGACATAAATTGGGATGCCCATCACACGTCCGCGCTGTGCTGGCCCCAACACCGGCGACAAGGATTCTATATATCTCCGTATCATGAGATTCCTGTGGACTTGGACAAATATGAGGACGACATGAATACGACGGAGACGACCGATAAGTCCAACACAAAGCACAGCGGCGATGGAAGCTGGCCCGACGAGTGCGGACGGGGCGAGATCAGGCTGGCGCAAGGAGAGGTTAGGAACAGGAAAAGCCCGTCTCGACCACTCGCTACAGGATGTGCGGCGAATTTCGAAATTTTCGGCGGGGGCGACTCGAGAGAGCCTGCGTTTTTGGACTAGGCTTGGTCCTTACTCTGGCGCACATCAACCCAGACACCAATATGTGACGTATCCGCCTTGTTTTCTTTTCCATGAGAATACGTCCCACTGTTACGACATGTTGCGCCGTTGTCATTTAGTTCACGGTGGCGTCGAGACAATAAAGTGGGTGTGCGGTGGCTGCTTCTCGACTCTCCCCTTTGCTTTCATCCCAGAACGGTAATAATGGGGATCGAGTTCCTTATACGAAAACGACAAGCGAAAGAAGAAAATAAGATGGATACATCGGCATGAGGCGAGTAACAAGAAATATGGAATCAGCGACATGGACAAAGAAAAACTCACATCTCAACTACTTACTTATTATGTCTTATAGAGAAAACTGGTGGAAAGCGCTGGGATAGAGGGGGGACATCATCGGAGGTCAACCAAGGCTATAAATCAGCGACTGTTCTTTAGTATATATCAGTAGACGGCAGTCATATCTATTATTTCCTTTAGCAGTTTAAGCTCCTACATACATGTAGGGAGTAGTCTGCATTACCTAATGTGCTATAACCCCGTGATGTAGGCAACGCATAAAGAATGCGAAGCACCGATGAAGTGAGGCGGATACACTTGTACATGGGCGGATGCACCTAACAAGACCCCGCTCGACAGGGATTTTAATTGAAAATTCCTGTCTCGCGTGGATGTTGATCCTTCGACAGTCTGTCTTTACGTATGTACAGTAGTACTAGGTAGTGTATCCGGTCAGTGTTCACGTTGGACTCGGCTGTTTGTTACTGTAGTATCAACGTTTGGCGCTGGCAAGACCGGAACCGGGCTAGAAAGTCCATCTTGGAAATGAGCTGCAAGCGCCAAAGTTACTTGTTATCTTAACAGGAAGCCGAGTCTCTTGTGCAGAGACAAATGCAGAACCCGGCTCCCTATCTCCAGGAGTGTGGCGAGTGTAACACTAGCCCATACTGGATTGAGTACAGACCTCTGCGATAGTGTAAGACAAGACCTGCACTACGGTACGTAGTGTAACTATGTACATAATATATCTGGATTATATACGGTTGCAGTAGGAAGCTCCGAGCTTTTCCCCGCTTGTTCCACTTAGAATAAGCTATAGGGGAGGTGTGCGCGAGGAAGAGCTGCATACCGTACATACACATGCATGGGGTCTCGAAGTTTCGGCATTTGGGTCTATGTCATACAAACACTTGAGAAACGGCGCGGAGCAAATTCCAGAGTGATATCTTTTACTGGGCACAGAAGGCTACTAGCTTACCGTCACATTAACAGTGCTCTGGTTCACCCGCCTACCCTTTGAAAGTGATGATAATAACATGACGGACACTGTCGCTGTTGTAAATGTATGTGTTCGCTAATTTAGATTTCACAGCTTTAAAGTACCAATCTTGGTAATATATAGGTAGGTACCTACCTTGTGGGTACAGTACATGAACCACCCCCTGAGCTACCTACCGAAAATACAGTTACATGGGGGCCCATGACTGCAATGAGACAGGCGATGGCACCACGCTACCATTCGGAGCTGCTCTTCCCTCAGCCGTCGATGATGATCTGAGAGTATGGCCGACGCCGCAAGACTGTTGGAGCGTAGCCTGCCGAGTCAATTGACGACTGCCTACTTGAGCCCCTAATCAATTGGTCAGCGACACAACTTGGCCTGCCTGACAATGGCATATAAGCTAAAGAAAGAACTCCAAACCCGGATTAAAAGGAGCGACAAAAAGATTTCAGCAGCGACCTAGGTTAATCGGCCTAACCGTACCGTACCTGACTTCGCTGAAGATGTAAAATATTACCTAGCGGGTAAGCAACCCAAGTGGAATGCATGGGGCTTCTGGAACAGCTTGTAATTATCCTTGCTGCAGGCTTAGCTTGGCCCTGAACGCCCCCCGGCTAGTTCGCCCTGGAACCCATTAAACCCCCGCTAACCGGCCCACTGGGCGAGTCCTTGGGCTCCGCTATGGCGACGCTAAGGGGACCCGACATGTGCCTATCGCAGCCATGTTGGGAGCAGCCAGACAGGCTGTGATGGACGCTAAGCCGATTCGGGGCCTGTCCAGGGTTTAATGAGTCAGGTGATTTCGTGCCAGTATCCCGTTCTGCCAGACGCGTGGGCCAACGTCCATCGTCAATTAAGCGTGTTTGCCTGAAGATACGGGCTGCTTCTTACTACTGCCACAGGCATTCACGCAGCAGCGTCGCCTTGCCGACATGGGTCTCCCACTATATAATGAGACACGCCCCCGAAAATTTCTCCTCTCCTATTCCTTCAAACAGAAGGGGGCTTCAACAGGTAGGCAAAATCATCTCGTTCCATCGTCGTTGTCATTTAGTCTTTTCATTTCCATCATCACTTTCATCATATTCGTTGCCTTCAACCGCATGAACACCCATTACATCGATCGAATACCACCAAGTTCGCACTTGGTAGCTCAAATAACAGAGCTATTGACAATCTGCGACCGAGGAATATCTTAATTACTTCGAACTCCGATTGCCTATCGGTCGGAGATTGAAGCACAACACATAACACAGAACACACACACATATACACACTACTCACTCCAACACCATGCATAGCAAGCGCATGGACCCGCCTCCAAGCAGGAGCTTTACCAAAGGCCACAGAGTGAGCAAGTCAAGTGCTTCTTTCAGCAAGAGCAATGGCATCACCAAGCATCGGCATGATTCCCGCCGCCGCTTGACGACATCCATGTCTCAGCATATGGACGAGAATATGTCACCCGACAGGTACGAACAATCTGTCTCATTCTTCTATAGTTTCTTACTGTCTCCTCTAACATCTTGCCTGCATGCAGCAACCTGACACCCTCTATCGTGACCCTCGTCATCGGCCGGGACCAGCGAATCTTCGCAGCCCATGAAGATGTACTCTGCGCATCGCCATGGTTCCAACAGGCTCTGTCGGGTCAATACCTGGATCCGCAACAGGGTAAAAGGGTCCATCTGCCAGATGATGAACCGGAGATATTCTCTTCCATCCTCGAGTACCTCTATAAGGGAGACTATTACCCTCGACTAGTCCACAACAAGCGTCGCAATTCGTGGGAGATTGAACAGCTCGACGAAGAACGAGGTTCTGCCGAGGCTACCGTCTACCATCACGCCGTTGATGGTGATATCCTCAAGGATACTGTTATCTACTGCACGGCCGATAAATACGGACTGGAGGAGCTCAAGCGCGTTGCGCTGCGGAAACAAGGTCTTCGTAGGTCTTCCTATTGCCCCTTTTCCATTTCCATGCTGACGATATAACAACAGAGTCCGGCGTCCAGTGCAGTACCATACTAGCGTCAGCCCGCTATGCATACTCCAATACGCCTGACACCGATTCCAAGCTACGAGCACACTATCTCGCCCTCATCATTCGCAGCCGCAGCACCTTCAAGCGTAGCGGCACTATGCAACTGGAGATGTATAACGGCGGATCACAGCTGTTCTTTGACCTCTTCGTCGCCTTGTGTAATCACGTCGACGATGTCTCTAGTGCTTCGTAAGTGTCACTTTATTTGATTTAGGTCATCAGATCTCACAGCTCACTAATTCTGATTTTGCAGGAACACACCGCGTAGCAATCGCCATTTCTTCTAGGAACCCATTTTAATTCCCTTTGTCATACCTCACAACCTTTTCTCCATTTTCGATTTTGGTTCCCATCTCCTACATGCGGACCTTATCACCATCCCCGTCAACTATGTGGGAGGCGCATCTAATGATTAACGTTGCCTTTTTTCTTCCACCTTGCCCTGTTTCCCCGCCCTGCCACTTTTTAAGGAACAGCTCAATAAACGTGCTTGTCGCGGAGTTTATCGGCACAAATACTGCATCATGGCGTCCTGGCGTTCATCTCACCGCGAGCTGAATTTGATCTTCGGTTTTTTGCTCTTTGTTTATGACGCTCTGTATTACTATTCTCATTATTTGACCTCTACGTCCAGAGAAGAACGGACAGTAATATCTCGCCACCGCGGGCCTGCATGGCTTCTTTCTGCCTGCACAGCTCTATTGATTCTTCGGGCGCATTTGCCGAGAGAATATTGGCGAAGGAACACCAAAAAAAAACATAATAACGCTTGCCTGGGAACGGGCTTGGAAAGGATGCAGGGGAATGTAGACTGCCAAACTGGAGGATCTCTTCGCCTTCTCATTTTATTGGCATTTTCTACTATTTCCTTCGTCGCACGACACGATAACATATGTACGATTACAATTCTAGACTATCGTTTATCTAAGGGTTCACATCCTTCCTCCCCAGCAGAAGGGAGGCGGACGGCTAGGTCAACAGGGACATCGAGGCCGGTTTTCTCTGCTTTTGGAAAGCTACGAGCGGAGAAGAAATAACAGACTGAGGGAGATGAAATGCTTTTGACGATGATGATAGATTGAAATTCTTGTATATACTATTCAAATAACGCCTCGATGACTCCACGAGTGTTCGGGTGTATATGACCACCCCCATGCGACCGGCGGACTTATCAGATGTTGGAATGTTTAGAACGTGCTGTCGGAAGCAAACCTTTTCTTTCTAGTCTTTCAACTCAGAAAAATACCAATATCAGAATGAAACTTTAACGATTCAGGTGACTTCTGTTATCCTTACATAGTGCGTTGTATGGATAGCAAGTATGTAGTGGCGTCTTACGTCATAAGTATTTTAGACGGCAAAAGCCAGCAGTGATTGGCTCGCTCAATTGGCTCAATGGTCTAGTGGTATGATTCTCGCTTTGGGTACCACCCTGAACTGAGACCGTGGGATTAAAACCCGCTGGTCGCGATATGCGAGAGGCCCCGGGTTCAAATCCCGGTTGAGCCCTTTCTTTTTTTCTTTTTTTGCAAAATTCGGAATTCATGTTTTCTTTTGTTTTCTGAGGCATTGTTTTGCCAGTTGGTGTGATTTTCTCTGCAGGTTGATTCTCGGGTCAGAAAGGAGAACGTTTGACAGGTTCTGCATATGGTTCATTTTTAGCTCCTTAGAGGAAGCACCCACCCCACTTACTCTTTACGGCTTCCATTTTTGAGCTTGTGGCTGTACTGACAATTTAGTAGCAATGCGACTGTTATCTCAGGGCTGCTGTTATATTCTAAGGATGTTCGTTATTCTGCTCTACTCTATTCGACCTGCAACGTTTTATGTCTTCTCTGCAAAACGCTTGGCTTGTACTCATCACGTCTAATAACACGATACACCCATTTCCCACTGATCAGTTCCCCCCCGATTTGAGTCGCCGTGCACTTAGTCATATCTAAAAGTGTCTTGTGATCCGGGGATGTGTCCCTGTTGAACGCCGCGATCTTGCTCCTCTCCGTATCTTGCTTACTCAATTGCAATTGTGGATCTGGGGTAAGAGCCGTGTCCTAGATACCGTGATGCTTGTAAGAGACGCTGTGCCATCGGATCTTCCCGCGCAACACACTCATATGCAAGGGATGACTGGAGATGGGTGAGTCATGAATAGTGAGTGAGCACAAAACAAGGCTTGCTTAGTTACACACACTCTAGCGCTGCGCTGTGCTACGGTTCTGTTTGTACTAACTAGAGAAGGCAGTAATACCAAAGGGAGTCCGTTTGTACCGGCAATGCTGATTTGCTTTTCTAGTTATTTCAGATCATGGACATGTCCTCTAATTCGTCGGCTAAGGCGGCGTGAGGATATGTCTTCGTGCGCCATCGATCTCCTTCTGCTGAGCCCACTTTCCCATTAAGCTTAGTAGTACTTGGCTTCTGCTACAACGAAGGCGCCGGGATTGGGCATCGCTCACGAATCCCATTCGATGCGTAAATACATACACTACCCATAGCATAGTGCTGCGAGAATAATTTCACCGATCTTATTCGGCTCCTGCTCAAGGCAGAGTGGCAGGACAGCTATGCGACTGACTACGCAACGGCCGTTGTCGGCCTTATCTGCGCTCCCTCCATCAATAATTATGTTCGCTATGATAGGAACGCCTACCTATTGTAAGTAAGGCTGCCCAACCAGAATTTCTGCATTGTCATTTTGCCACCGACGGCGACGAGTAAAGCGCCTTACTCCCTAATCGCCATTGCTATGCATATTGAGGATCCTCGTGCGCACATGCGTATTCTTTTGCTTGATGATTCCATAACGCCTGACTCATACTTTTGTTCCGGGAAAGGCACCGGACTTGCTCAATACTACTGTGCCGCGTTCGTGGGCAATGTACCCTTTCATGAGATTCTAGGCTGAAGTGTTAGCAGCGCGCGAAGGAAATTCAACGCAGGAGGTAGCGTATAGAAATCACTTGGAGGCCACTAAGCCGTCCTGAAGAGAAATGGGCACGCTCCCTTAAAATCTCTGTGGAGATGTAGGAAATGCTAGGCGGTCCATGTGTGAGGGGCAATTCTGCCTTACCTTGTATATCATATTGGCCATGAGACATTCCACTTCGTCAGAGTCAATGGCCTCTCCACTGCTTATCTGCACGGCCGCTGTAAACTCGGTGATGGGGATTCTCGTCCTCCGCACGGGCGCTGCTCCGTCCTTGGCTTCCTCGAATCCCCCTGCTATAAATACCTTGCGTAATAAGTTGCGCAGTACGATGTCACGCCCGCGCTCCAGTGTCAAATAAACGCGTCGCTTTATGAACTCGTCTTCGCCGTCACGCAGAGCAATATCAAAAGCTCTCAAATCAGATTTTTTGATTGCACGAGCCAGAGGTATAAACAGTTTCTGTAATCGAGGGAATGGCTCGAGTAGCTGTGCGCTGGGAAGTGTGTGGGTTGTTAAAAGACGGCAGGGGATAAGGTAAGTGAGGATGAGCCTAGGAGCAGATTAGCGCATGGGCTACAAAACAGGACGTAGAAGATACACACTCAAGATTTCGTTGCGCATCCTTATGACATAGCAGCCATGCCATCTCGAGATGTTTTTCAGCCTGTTACATCGTTAGCCATCATGAGAATTGGAATCGAAACGCCTGGGATACCTGCCTCAACATAGTTCTCCTCCAGAAACGCCAAAACCCCTTCATAATATTTGAATGTAACCTGCTGTGATTTGGGGAACTTATCAATTGGCGGAATATCACTCCGACCGGCCGATATTGCCTTCAGGATATTTTTTGAGAGCGGCTCTGAATTGAGCCGGAAGTAGGTTTTAAATAACAGATTGACCGCATAATAGACTCCCCATTTACGAGATTCCTCCAGCGGAGCCCTAGTTCGTATCAGCTGGAGTCCTAGACGCGCATCGAAAGAGGACGAGTATTCACCTATCCGAGGCGCAAACCTGGAAGATCCTGTTTAGATGTCTCGCGCAATCTTCGAGACTTTTATGTTCCTCTGCTTGGGGATCGAAATCGTCTTTCAGATCATCAACAGCCATGTCGTCATTGTTAAGAGCCCTCTCGGCATCGGCTCGGATGGCAAAGAGCCTCAAGTATTTTCCAGTGACATAAAGACAGGGGATGGTCCAGTTTTCAAAATCATGATTTGTATAGCCCCGGACAGTGAGTAGCGTGAGTTCTTTCCATGCACCATACACTTTAGCCCACGAAGACTGGTCCAGTCAGCGCGAAGCCCTGCAGTTTGGGATGAACGCACGAGCAATCAAGCCCTAGAAATGACGAGCATTGTTTGGGGAAAATGGAAAATTTGCCATCCCTATCAAGATTGACTTACCTGGACATCATTTCGCAAGCCTTCAGCAGCTAGTATTTCTCCTATGGCTTTCCAATATGCGGTGTAGATGGCGTGCCACCCGGTTGCTTCTTCTTTGGACAACTTGATGCTAAGACGAGCTTGATCTTGGTGGAAAAGGAAGTTGAGATCGGCTGCCGTGGAACGCACATCACCTCGTCCCCAGATAGCTTGGAGTTTGGCTGAGTGTGCTTGGACATCCGGGTTCAAAGTCTCGGCGAGTTGTTTACCATTCGTGGCAGCATATGCCGCCCGAAACTGGCGAATGAGGCCATCCATGGCCGGATTGGGTATGGCACTAATAACTGCGGCAACAGTCTCGTTGAAGTGATTTCAGCCTGTGGTTGCCGACGTAAATAGGTTATAAGGCAAATGAGGTCTTTAAGAAGCCGTCGCCGTATCTATCTCTTTCTCGTTGAGGTTACAGAAATTTGTATAAAATAGTCGTCAACCTTTGTCAAGAATGACCATGAAGGGATATGATTCTTTGAAGTGACACGCGATGATTGGTTGAAACAATACCCAGTCATTGAAGGCGGGTTAGGTACCTACCTTCCTATCTGCCTGATGTACATGTACCTACCCCACTTGGACTTTTTGACCCTGAAAGCTCAGCCACTCGAGCCACGGTTATCCCCACTGAACCTTGGATGAAACCCAGGTGGTCTGTGTTGCACGGCCACACAAATCCGCCACACAAAGGCCGAGTTGCTTGCTAGGGCGGGAAACCCTTAGCACAGAATTTCGCAAAAAGTTCTCGTAGCCGAAGACGTGCCCCAAAGCCGCCTCCACTACAAGCACCCGACCAGATCTACCCTTCATACTAACCTCCCACGACAACAGGACCGGATTCAATTCACAGTAGGTTGCAGCCCATTGTCTCTGCGGTATGCATTTTCTCGGGTACTGACTGTCATTAATTTCAGATGGGTAAGCGATTTTCTTTTCGATCGATGATGCAATTGTAGCCGCTGGGGAATTCGACATCGACGACAGCCTCGAAGAATTCTTCACGAAGAACCTGTCAGCGAACAAGCTTAGCACTACGATACAGCGATACGGCGTAAACACTGTGTTCTTAGCTCTTGGAGAGAATTTCGACCACAGCAGAAGAGGGATTGAAGGGTGGGCATTGCCGTTAGGGGAAATTGACCAGCATGAACCTTAGTGAGATTCTGCTATCGGCATGACTGCATTTCTTCTACCGACACTCCGGAGCGCCGCGTCATATGTTCTCTTTCAACGAATATTTCGACTCCTAAGCTGGGCGTTGTTGATTGTCTCTATCTCAGCCGTTCTGCATTGCTTCGTGCATCTGACACTGCACATACTGGTCTGTCCAGTCGCTAATTCGATGCTGTCAGGTCGTCTTCAGGAATACCAGGTCATCGGGCGCCACCTGCCCACCGAGGCCAACCCCACCCCGAAGCTGTACCGCATGCGCATCTTCGCCCCCAATGAGGTCGTTGCCAAGTCTCGCTTCTGGTACTTCCTCATGAAGCTGAAGAAGGTCAAGAAGGCCAACGGTGAGATTGTTAGCCTGAACAAGGTATGTCCAAATTCACAGTGGAGTTGGATGGCATAGAGCATCATAGAGACTGATTTTTTCGTAATAGATCAACGAGAAGAACCCCCTGCGCGTCAAGAACTTCGGTATCTGGATCCGATACGACTCCCGCTCCGGCACCCACAACATGTACAAGGAGTACCGTGAGCTCTCAAGAACAGATGCTGTCGAGGCTCTCTACTCGGACATGGCTGCCCGCCACCGTGCCCGCTTCAGGTCGATCCACGTATGAACCACCAATTCTTTAAAATTTTCAAAAAAAAAAAAAAAAAAAAGGCGACTCTTGCTTACGTGAATCCAGATCCTCCGTGTCGTCGAGATCGAGAAGACAGAAGATATCAAGCGCCCTTACATCAAGCAGCTCGTCAGCAAGGACCTGTCGTTCCCTCTACCCCACCGTGTTCCCCGTCTCAACAACAAGAAGGTCTTCAGCGCCACTCGCCCGTCCACGTTCGCATAAATTGGGGGATTCTTGTGTTATGTGTGTGATGAGAGGTTTATGGGAAATGGTCTTTGCCCGGTGTTCACTACGGTATTACGGAAAAATCTTCGTCACGATCAATTCAGCATGACGGCTCTTAAAGAG